TTAACTTAGTCTTTTAACTTGTATAGAGTAGGATGTAACTTATAATTGTAAGTATATATCAATAACTTTTTGCTATTGTAATCAGGATAAATTAGAAGCAGGGCCCCTCTGGACACCAGCCTAGTTGCTGAATGGGCCACCCTGCCTAAATAAAGTTTACTTTTACTTTTATCTTTACCTTGGGAGAGTAAGAATAAAAACTAATACATGAAGTCAGGTTATCATTAAGGTTTATTGAATGATATGTGCAGTTTCAAGTATGTTTTGCACTTCGGCAATCTTTTATGTTTTCTGGAAGTTGCTTCACATTCATATCTACCTCTTTAGACACCGATTTATGAGGCCAAGTGCCCCAAAAACGATGAGTATAGTTTTGGTTTCCATTCCCCACATTTTGCTCACTTCCATCTCTAGATCGCTTTATACATACATATGCATACGTATATATTTATGAGACCGCACCTGATATTTTTTGATACATTCTTTACTCTTTGCTCGGAAGATGAAACCATAGAATAATTAAATAACTGCGGTACGCAGTTTAGCTGTTATTTATTTTCTGCACGTTTCGTAAGGAATTTGTCAAGTGTGTATATTAGCGTAAGTACAATGATGTAGTACAATAGCGTGAGTACAATAGTGTATATTACGCTGATTGTATAAATAGCGTGATTGTTTTAGTGTTCGTCCTTCGGGTCGAAACGTAAGCGACGACTCACTTCACTAAAGCCAACGTTGCTCTCTCTCGATCTCTCTTTCTCTATAACTTGATCATGGCTTTCGATCCTTCCGCTATATCTTCTRTAATAGATGAAGCTCTGTCGGCTTCGGCCGGCAGGTTTTCCAAATTAATCRATGAGAAGCTTGGTGCTTTTGCCGAGTCCTTTTCACTGCAAAATGGAACTCGTGTTAAAGAAGCTGTCAGACAAGCCAAGAAAGAATCATTCGTTTGCAAGAAAAAAGGCAACCAACAGCAATTGGATCACTGTCTGCAAGTCCTGGAGAAGCTAGAGGATGCCACCGAATGTTTAGACACTAACRCTATTGGAAATGCAAAGAGAAAGCTTGAGGAAGGAACGCAGTTAATTCAGAAGCGTGTTAAAGCCATAAAAATAGCCGACAAGAGTGAGTTTGGTTGGGCTACAGTCAATGAATACTTATCAGACGATTTGGCTTCTGACACTGACGACGAGAAACGTTTATACCGTTCGGAAAGAAGAGCTGAGAAAAAGTACAAGGATAAGCAGCGTCAACGCAAGCAGAACTACGCGAAATCTCGATCTGAGACTCAAAGTTCATCGAAGTCTAGCGACGGAGGCGGTGCCCGTATGAAGATTGGTCCCTGTTTTAAGATAAGTTTTTCACTTTTTGCTCACTTGCTTTGTTCAGTACTTCGAGCGTATATATATATTACTGTCGCTTACTCGACTAATATACCAACATTCTCAATGCATATTGTGTGTTGTGTGTTAAATCTCGAAGATTAGGGCAGAA